GCATTCATGGCCGTTGGTAGAACTTCAGTAAGAAGTTGGCTATTGTTGGTCCTTTGAAAGGACCAGAAAGAGACATGGCTGAAACATAGCAAGAATGGTAGCAGGAATACGATAAGTCTAGTTTAATGAAAAGGACCAAGAGGCACAGGAGAGTAGTCTTCCAATATTTGAGGGTGGGGGCGGGTTGGACTAGATGATCTACAAGTTTTAGTTTACTTTATTGTCATTGCACCTCGTACAATGAAATTAAATACCATCTTCAGTGTACATTGTGACTATGAAAATAAACACAAACACGTCTCCTTTGCGTTCTATACAATTGAATTGCAAACCCCTGATATTGCATTAATATTGCACTATACAGTAGAATTCAAAAGAGCTCCTGCCCTGGGATAGAAGCTGTTTTTCAGTCTGTTTGTCCTTGTTTTTATTATTATCTTGTACCGTCTGCCAGATGGTCATAGTCCCAAAAAAAGGGTTCCGAGGATGAGATGGATTTTTGGGAATGTTTTGAACTTTCTTAAGGCAGCAGGAGCTCTAAAGCTCTTCCAAAGAGGGGAGAGGGCAACCCAGGATCCTCTGGGCAATGACGTTCACCCTCTGGAGTGCTTTCCTATCTGCCACTGTGCAATTGGCAAACCATACAGAGGTGGAGTAAGTTAAGATACTCTCTAGGGTGCAGCGGTAGAAGGTCACCAGCAGTTTTTCCATTCAGCTGTTGTTTCCTGAGTCCCTTCCAACTCTGTTAATCTGACTTTAATCTGATTTTAATGAACAAAAGGACCAGGGGAGACAGGAGAGCAGCCTTCCAATATATGAGGGTGGGGGGGTTGGACTAGATGACCTACAAGGTCCCTTCCAACTCTGTTATTCTATATTCAGTGCAACGACTTGCCTTCAGTAGTCGTGGGAGCTTTATCACCGGAAGCTTTCAAGAAAAGATTGGACTGCCATCTGTCAGAAATGGTGTAGGGTCTCCCGCTTGGGCAGGGGGTTGGACTAGATGATCTACAAGGTCCCTTCCAACTCTGTTAATCTGACTTTAATTTGATTTTAATGAAAAAAAGGACCAAGGGAGACAGGATAGGAGTCATCCAGTATTTGAGGGGCTGCCCCAAAGAAGAGGGAGTCAAGATATTCTCCAAAGCCCCTGAAGGCAGGACAAGAAACAGTGGATGGAAATTCATCACGGAGGAATTTCCTGATGGTGAGCACACAATATCATAGCTGGAAGGGACCTCGGAGGTCTTCTAGTCCAACCTCCCACCGCACCCAAGCAGGAGACCCTAAACCAGAGGCCTTCAAACTTGGCCACTTTAAGACTTGTGGACTTCAACTCCCAGAATTCCCCAGCCAGCCATGCCTGCTTTCTCTCTCTCTCTTAATCTCCTAAAGTGGAGAGAGATTGCAGAGGAAGGGATTACAAGAGAGTAAGCCATGCTGGCTGGGGAGAATTCTGGGAGTTGAAGTCCACAAGCCTTAAAAGTTGGCCAAGTTTGGAGACCCCCCTGCCCTAGACCATTTCAGACAATGGGGAAGCCAGATTCACGTAACGACCGTGTTACTAACTGAACAACAGCAATGACGCTACAACCGTCCTGAGGACATGCCAGTTTCCAAGCCTCTTGAGTTTTGGTCACGGAAGATGCCGCCACGGTTGTAAGACTGAAAAACGCCCCCAAGTCACTTTTTTTCTGTGCCCTTGTAACCAGAAATGGTCCCTAAGTGAACGGTTGTAAGACGAGGAGACCCTGTAGGGAGCACTTTCCTCCCCTCCCCAAATCCTCAATCTGCCCTCCCCCAATGGAAACCCCAATGTGCCCCCCCAATCCTCCCCCCCCCAAAATAAAATGACCACCTCCAACGCGAGGAACATTTAATGTAGCTTTTATAACGTGGTTTATTTACATTTTACTTGGCATTGACAAGAGAGTGGTTATGATTATTGATGGTTTGTGTGTTGTTGTTTTTTGTCAAATTAATACTTCTTACAAGTCATGAACAACCTGTGGATTGCAGTGGTTGAAGTGACACAAATAAAATTACTTTGAAATCTAGGACTCTTTGAAGTCAAGTCAAGCTCCCCCCTTCCCCTCTTTCCTTTCTCTCTCCCTTCCCTTCCCCTCCCTCGGGGAGGAGGGCGGGAGGGTTTGCATCCAACACACACACACACACACACACACACACACACAACCCCTTTCCTGTAGGGCAGAAATAGTGTGAGGATTCTCCATCCATAGCAGGTTGCAATCTAGCCTTTCCCCCCATTTAAAAACAACAACAACACAATTTAATAAAACAAAACAAAACAAAATTGCAAAGAAAATTGTGGTTCTTAGGCACCCCGATTTCTCCCAAAGAAAGACAAGAACAATACAAAATAAAAATAAAAAATAAAATAAAAATGGAATGCATGTAAAAAGGTTCTAGGATGATACCAAAAAAACATTACTTACAACACAAAATCTCTAACTTACAAAACTTTTTTTTTTCTTTTTTAAATCTTCCTGATGACGTGCGAAGGCAAAGAAAAAAAAAACGGGTAAAAGGAACCGATCGGCGGAGAGTCTGCGGTTAGGCCGAAGGGAGGCCAGCACTGCAAGGTTGGCGGCCGGAGGGAAGAGTGAGGAAGAAGGCAGAGGAGCTGGGGTGCAGTAGGCGGACAGAAGGCCCAAAGAGCGACGGCTGGACGGGAAAGGGGGACGTTTTGCAAAGGCCCCAAAGAGATTTTTTTCCCCGCTCATCTTGAGTCCTTGAGGTTTGCCACACCCAGCTGTGGTTTGAAAATCCACCTTCCCGAAGGATGAGTGGAGTTGGAGGAAGAGGAGAGGCGGAGAAAGGAAGGGAGGAGTTGAGAGTGGAAGGGAGGGAAGGATGGTGGAAATAGGGATGGGAGGAAGGGAATAGAAGGGGAGGGGAAGGCAAGGAAAGGAAAAAGAACGGACAAGAGGAAGGGAAGGAAAGGAAGAAGGGAATACAAGGG